CAGCCAAGGGCGCCTTCTTGTCCATTACGGCGGCGACAGCGGCCATAGCTGCCAGGGCCACTCGCCGATCGAATGGTTCTGCTAGCTTATTGAACACGCGAAGGGCCGTGTTCTCATTGGCGAAAACAATATTGCCTGCAGAGGTGGGGGTTAGACGATAGGCATTAAACGAGGGGCTCGAAGGAGGAAAGAATCAACAAGCCAAGCTGGCACTCGTTACTGCGATCAGGGGCCCAAAAAAATCCCATGCAATGAAGCCACTGGTGGACAGGCCAGGGGCAAATTTAATCCTTCTCAAACAAAAATTGTCAGGAAGAAACAGCTCCATTTTCGCAAGGCTTGTTGTCAACACCGGTAAACACAAACTGCCAAGCTCAACCTCTCGTTCATCAAGTTTACTTCGCGAAAACTGATTTGAATGGGACTAGGAAGTTTTGCTAGGACCTGATCACCCCGCCGAACACGCAGACATGTTATGTCAAAGCATCGAAAATAATTTATGAATAAGCATAGCCGGAAGTGTAAGGATATTCAATTTTTAACGAACGACGGAAATCTGTTGTGCTCCTTTGTGAACGTTCTGTTTTCGTTTAGCAAAGAATGTTTTAAATTTGGAAGTTGAACATTCTAAAGGCTAAGCATCAGGGATTTCCTACGCACTCACTTTGCCGCTAGGAAGACTGACGTAACGAAAAACGCAACCAGAAGCCTGGAAGTGAGTGTAAAACACAAATCGATAAAGTAGTGAACGCGGCTCAGAGAATTATCAAACAGTCAAGCGAAGTGATACTCAAGAAGTCAAGTCCGGCTTTCGATTATTCATCATCAGGGAGGGCGACACCAACGTTAATGGCGGTCGCAGATCCTATAATTTAAATTAAGATTTTGGACTGATACCTGATATCTCCAGTTCGCCACTCTGCCAGACATGGAAGTGTCCAAAAAGTGAGAACTGCAATTGATACCAGGTTCAGCCCCACGTCCATCCCAAACCAACGACTGCTATTCCGGCCACCCACAGCCACACTGATCCGTCATCACTTCTCCCCACTAGG